CATTCCTGGACTTTGGCTGGAAGAAGATGTAAGTTGCAAAATACATCGCAAATGATCATTTTGAATAAGAATGCTTTTTAACAGAATACTTTGTTTGTGTGTGTGTGTGTGTGTGTGTGTGTGTGTGTGTGTATGTGTGTGTATGTGAACATTGTTTTTTTTTTATAATGAGATTCTGAATAATTATTGCCTTTCAAGGTAACTTACAGCTTTGAGATAAATTTTTTGACTAGAAACTATAAAGGTAACAAAACTATAAAACATAATAAAATGGCAAAGTTAAAAGTAGATTGTAGGATTGGATATGCATATAAATTCACATCGAAATATTATTGCAATATTAAGATCTAGCTCAGAATAATAAGGCCTTTTTTTTACTTATTGTGCATTTATATCGCGTTTTTATGACATTTTGTTTATAATCGATTTTATTTCCATCACAGATTGATGCAATTGTCGGCGAACATGGTCTTGTAGTCATCACCAGAGAGGGTTCCAATCCTAACAAGTTCATCTATGACTCAGACATCCTTTCCAAGCATATGGTATAATAAAAACTTGAGAATTCTGTTGAATTTCCTTTTCTTAAATTATATTTGTTTATAAAATGCAACATACGCTTATTATATGTTAGTGTATTGAAAACAAATGATTATTTGTTTGTGCATATTAGGCTAAGTTTAGAAAATAGTGATTGAGTGAACGCTCAATAATTGTCTGTGATTAGAATGAACTTTTAAATCTATGACAAACCTAACAGAATATATATCAATAGCAGCGAATGCTCATTCGACCATTGTATTTTATGAGCGAAGCCTTTGTGAGGCAGGCATTACATGTGGCAGGATTTTGTTTATCAAACATTGTTGTCTTATATATTTTAAATAGCCGCAAGAATTCGAACATTAATTTAAATAAAAGAACTACATTCAATTTGCGAATTTAATTATTGTAGACGATCTGTTTTCGAAATTGTCACGAAACATTAATTGTTATCCTTATTGATGTAGTCGACCTGTAGAAGCAACTTTTAATATTTGAATAATTCGATTTTTCTTATTTCAGAACAATATCTGCATTGTGACCGAATGGATCCCGAATGAAGTTAGCTCGACGAGGATCAGACGAGCTCTAAAGCGCGGCGAGAGCGTCAGGTATCTACTACAAGACTCCGTCATCGATTACATCTACAAGCACGAGATTTACAATGCGAGAATGCCAGACACGATAATGTGAGTTTTGAATATTTTGTTTAGACGCATTCTTTCATAATGATAGTCGAGTTTTTTTCTTTAGTCTGCTAGCTCATTAATCCTCTGTTGCTTAAATTTGTGGATAAAAGACGTAAATATGCTTAAATACACAAAATACGAAAATATATTTGATACGCAAAATAAAAAAAATAAAATAAAAACGGTATTTGAAAGTTATATTGAGCAGGAGAGAATTAAAGTGACGAAAGCAATTAAGATTTAAGATAGAGCCATATAGATTTAAGCTTGAAATTTGTAAATTTTAAAAACGGCAGTCGCTGCTGGATCAGGCATACGAAAAATCGAAGAATCAAGCAACGTACAATAAATCACGTATATATTCTTTATTTGCTTTACTGTCTTACTATTGTGTATTACTTATTTTTTTCTTGCGTTGCTTTCCGATTACCTCACATATAAAATCTCGCGTTGTACGCAGTCACGTGGCAAATATAATCAGAGTGCGACGCAAAGGGAGAACTGGTAAACAATAGGGAAGCAGAAAATATATATATATATATAAACATACGAAGGCAATCACAATGAGAAAATATAGAGTTACCGCGTAAATTGAATTTGTAATAAAATTTATTGTTGCTTGATTGTCCGAGTAACATACTCGCCCACGATTGCTTTTATATTGAATTATGATATGTAGGACAATTATTTTTTGTACAAACTTTTATATATTGTAGATTATTATTTTATATACTATAGATTAACTTGAGAGGAATCAAAGTTCGATTGAATACCGTTTTTTTTATATTTTATTATTAGAAAAACATTAATTTCGTTTTTATAACATAATCCAATATATATAGCTGCGTGAGGTGAAACTTTGAGAGGAATAAATTTTTGAAAAAATCGTGATTATCATGTGTTTTGTGATATTTTAATGAATAATGATAGACTTGTAGAGATATCATATAACTATCAATTTTTATACATTTTATATTGAGAAGATAATATACTTTATTTTTATAATGACAGTTTATTTACTGTGATGTAAAGAAATATGATTTCGTATATATAATAATGATAGTCCAATAAAAAAACTGATCCCATTTTCAAGTTCGCAATAAAAACACACAAAGTTAATAAAATATATATAATAAAATATAATTAATTATGTTTGTAAACATGTGGAAGAAAATATAGAATTTAATAAGAGAATATTCAAAAGTAAATATAAAACTTAATAAATATCGAATCAAAGTGTGCTCAGAAAATTGCGTTACCTAATTCCTATTCATTAATTGATCATTGATGTTAATCGATATTGGCAGTTATTTATTAGGTTTTATTTAGATCCAATTACAGATTAATTATTCATCATGTATCTATAGAAATGTTAATTTTTACCTTTTTACGTCATGGTATTATATACATATAGAGTTTGTGAATATTGTATATACAAAAGATGAAATACTTAAAAAAGGAATATATTGCGATCGTTGCTGCATTTCATGGAATTTATACGATATATGATAGTCCTTACTCTAGTCTTTCTACTTGTCTTCCGTCGAATATAATATTTACAAGGAAACATCCTAATATCTTCCCTCAATTGTTATGATCTCTGAACATGTATTAAACTATTAAAGCAATATTGAGTGCTTTCAATTTAGTGACGCAAGTCGACACAAACATATCTATCTTTCTTGATGTTCAGAAAGTAACAGAGATAGAACGACAATTGCGTCGACTTGTTTCTGAGTCATTTCTTTATTCATGACAAAAAAGAATTACGTTCTATTTATTGTACTGTTTCACTATTTAATCATTTTTAATATTTTAAGATTATCTTCTGTTTAATATAAGTAGTTTAAAAATGTATAAATATGCATTTGATATCCAATTTTTATTTGAATTAATGTATAATAAATGTTATAGATTATTGTATTTTATTGTTTTCCTTAACTATCTATTTTTTTGAGTAATGTAAAAAGACACACTACACACACACACACTTAAAATATATATAAAACATATATACATAATTATTTTTTATAGGTTTAAAGCATTAGAAATATATTTAACTCTCAGCAGACATGAAAAGTTTTAAATTCATTAGTATAAAGATATTAATATAAAAATATTATTAATTAATAAAATATAATTAACAAATATAAAAAATAAAGCTTTTTTTATATATGTATAAACTGTTTTAATTAAAATCAATGTTTTATAATGTTAACAAATTAAACAAAAAACATTTACAAAGTGTTCGCCGAGAGTTCATATATTACAATTAAATTAATTTAAGATTAATATGCACTTTAAATAATTTTATTCACTGACAAGGATAATGATAATGCAATTATTACGATTATAATTATTGAAAAAATATTTAATATTTTGTTGACAATAAAGATGAGAATTAATGAAAATGTTCTATTAATTTTAGAGTAAGATTTTAATGGTTATAAGTAATATCGTCAGTGAATCGAATTCCAAAGACACCTTTGCTATTTTTTTCTTTATTAGTCGCGTGGGATCATAACAACTCCATTTATTTTTATATATTCTATTTATTATATGAAGGACGCCAAGTAAAACAAATTTACAAACATACGAGTGAAACTGGAATTGGAACTAAACTGAAGCTCACGATAGCAATTAGTTTTTATTATCAAATCCTTGCATAAGAAATATTGGATTTTAAAAGTTCTAAATAACGCTATCAAACTTTTCAGCTGCATACAAGGTGATGCACGAAATATCATATCATTTAATTTCAATTTTTAGCCTTTGATAATTCTAATCAATTTAGTTTCTAATCAATTTATACTAGTTTTGTACCAACTTTGTTAAAAATAAATGTGTCATATATATATATATATATACTCGTATATATAAAAACCAAATGGTATGACATTTTGTTTATATTTTATTTCTGCAGACTAGAAAATCATATATTTCCTATGCAATTACCTAATAATTTTTAACTATAAATGAAAAAACGTAGCCCACGTGACTAAATTATGTTGTGCTAAAATGTAACGTAATGAGCGAAAGTGATGTTCTATAAAAGAATCATCATGTTTTTCACGCTGCCGCTGCCGATTGGACACTGAAGTAAGTTGGAATTGTCGTCACCGAATGCGAACAATTACCTGCACATAGATCCCCGATATCTAACTGCATTGCTAACGCCGTCACCCAGCGATGTAACCATGGGCTCGCCGAGCCCAGTCGAGATTGTTGCGTCTATCGATGTGCCGGATGCGGTGGTGCTACGCAAAAACCTGCAAAACGTTGCGGGTAATGGTGGTGGGCTCGACGAGATTCGCGAGCAATTCGTTAGTGTGATCAGCAACAACGCCGACAATGGCAACTTCAAGCATGTATCTAGAGTCGTGTATCCCGGTCAGGCGAAACAGATCATCGCCAGCGCAACCGGCGTCGCGCGAATTTTAGACGAGGTAGGTGCGCTTGACGAGCTGATGACGAAGTCCCAGCCTGGTCCTTCGTCAGAAGAGGGTCGTAGATCGGCGATAGATAGTGCTGGGGGTAAGGCTAGTATTGGACAGAGAGAAGTCTCGGATTTTAAATCCAAGATGGAAATCATTGATGTGGACTTAGGTTCAAACGATGATCACGAGATAATAGTAAAAATTTCTTCGAATTCTGGCGAATTGGTGTCGGATGACGATCGTAGGTTGACGGCAGACGGTATTGCGAGGGATAAAGAAGTGTTAAATCTGGGATCTAAAGCGGAAATTATTGATGTAGATTTAGGTTCGAGTGAGATAATCATGAAGGTTTCGCCGGGCCAGCCAAGTTCTGGTGAATTCGTGCCAAAAGAATATTCTAGGTCAATAATAAAAAGTCTAGTGAAGGGTCAAATTGAGATTGGGCAAAAAGAGAATTTGAGATCTAAGATGGAAGTCACTGACATAGATTTAGATTCGAATGACGATTGCAAACTAATAATGAAGGTTCAATCTAGCGAGTCGAGTTCTGGCGAACTTCGATTGGGAGAATGTTGTTGGCCGAAAAGAGAAAGTGCTGCGAATGATGAAGTTGAAATTCGCGATAGAAATATTATGTCTGAGAAAAGAATAATCGATGCAGAGTTAGGTTTAAATGATAAGAAAACACTGAAAGAAACTCGTAGGTCTACGGTAGAAGCAATCAGTGATAAAGTAAATTCGGATCGGTCTAGATTTAGCAGAGTTGGATCGGAGAAGAGCTCCAAGTCGATAGTAAAAAGTGTCGTAGATGGAAAAGTTGACGTTAGGAACAAAGAAATGATTAATGTAGAAGTAGAGTTTACCGATGTTGTTAAGGTTCAGCCTGTTCATTCTAGCTATGGCATACTTACGTTAAAGGACGATCGTAGGTTAATGATAGAAAAACTTACAAATGAGCTTAAAATTAAGCTTGACGAAGAAAAGAATAAGTCTAAAGAAAGTTCACAGGTAGATAAGGTAGGTAAAATTGATACAGAATTAACTGAATTTAATGCGGAGGAAGATACGACGAATAACATCGTAGTTGACGACGTGGGAATCGACTCCAGAAAAGAGACAGCCGATTTCAAATCGAATAGAACTAAATATCTAGATGCCAAGGAAATAAACGTTTCAATGACGTCATTGGACGGTCGCCACGAGTGTGCTCTCTCCGATTTCAGCGTAGATAAAGAAGATTATCGCCTTAGCCAATATGGTTTCGACGAGGATGAAGAAGAAAATAAGAAACCTATATATACTGCCAGATTAAATTTGACGAAATACGCTGACGGTCAAATAGAAAACGTAACAGATAACGTAGATTCTGTAAACAATCGCGAGAATGATAATCGCACAAAATCTTCCGACGAAGCAGATCAATTGAAACATATCGTGGAAGAATCACTTTCAGTGGCAGAGGTAAACGATAAGGATAATAATTCTGAAGGCGGAAAACAGATAGAAGAAATATTTAAGATGTCGCAAGAGACTGACAAGATGAGCAGAATAGAAAAAGGATCAGAGTTGGACACGCATTCCTCGGAAAAACCGATGACATCTTGCGATTCGAGTCTCGAAATAGATGGCAAATACTTAAAATCGATTGTAAACTCTCGTAAGAGTCCGAGAAAGATCAAGGACGGTCAAGTTCGTGACGTCGAGATCAAGGAGCAATATCGACTCATTGATGATCCACAGGCGCTTCAATCTGAAGCATTTCAAAATTCTTCCACGAAGATGAAAAGCTCCGAAATTATGGAAGAACAGATTTACGATGTAGATATCGAGGAAAAAGGACAAATTGTTAAGGACCGAGAAACGTTTCGTGCAGAAAAAGTCTTCCAAGATTCTTCAAGATCATCCTCCATGAAGACGAAGAGTCCCAGGAAAGTCGAAGAGCTTCAGACTGACGAAAGTGAGCGCGAAATGAAGGATCATTATAAATCTATTAGTGATCGAGAAACGTTTCGATCTAGGAAGGCATCCCAAAAGTCGTCAAAAATATCTACAAGTGCAAAAAGTCCCAAAAAGAAAAGTCAAATCTTTTATAGAAGTAAAGATATGAAAGATTACGATCGATCTATCAACGATCGCGTTATCACTCAACTAGAGGAAGTCTTTTTGGATTCTTCAAAGAAGAGTTCCAAAAACGATTCCGAAAGCGAATTGAAGAAGCAAAATCGACATGCTGATAATCGAGAGACGTCGCGGACTGAAGATCCCTCTCAGCATTCCTCGAAAACATCTTCCGTAAGGAGCCCGAAAAAGATTCAAACTCAAAAGACTGTAAAAATGAACGATAACAAAGGACAACAAGCACAAGAAGCAATAAAAACGGTAAAAGACACTGATAATAAAACGAAATGTGACTTCAACGAGATTAAAGACGTGTATACGAGAAAAGTGAGACGTTACAACGTACCTCTTCAAGGCAGCTTGGACTCAATGATCGTGTCCGATGAAACATCTACACAGAAGCCGAAGAAGGACGATGCGTTCTCGAAGAAGTCGAAGAGTTATGAGTCAATCAAACGCATCCAGGAGGTATTTCTGGGCGTGCCGCCAACGAAGGCGAATAGTAGTGGCTCGCAACTTGACATTCCGGACGAGTTCTGCTCGATCTGCTGTTACATGAATGAGATCACTTTCCGAACGGAGGAGGAAGTAAGCAGCCCGAATCAAGAGACGTTCTATACGCTCAGATCAACCTGCAGTTCGCTGGCCGATGATGATGATTCTATTGAATGCGACATCTGCGGTTCGCTTAATCTCCAAGAATCTGCTGACGATCTTGAAGGAAAGATTCAAGAGATTCCCTGCGAACTTTGCAAAATTTGTGGTGAGGTGGATGGTAGTTTTGATCAGGATTCTACATTACCGGCTGATAGGTATACTTTCAAGATGATTGAGCCGCACCAAGATGACGACGACAGCTTCGAGATTGAGAACTGTGGCTTTCAGAGCAGTACGGAATCGGCTGATGATCGAAGCAGGATTTCTGATAAAGAGAGAATCAAGGATCCTGGAAGACCGAAATCACAGTCTCTGTTCATTCATGGCTCTTCGATGAACAAAGATCAGCCACGGGAATTATACTTCATACCCAAAGATGAGATCGCGATTTTAACGAGCGGGACCAGGAAGGTCAACCGCAAAGGTTCTTTGTTCAGAAAAAAGGAAGATTCTAGTGGAAATGCACAAGATAAGAGACGATATTCTTCGGTAGATAGTCTCCAACTGGCAAAGATATCTTCAAAGGGAAGCGATAAAGTGCTTAAGATTGCGAAGAATACAACGCTGATTGGATCTGCTGATAATCTGCAGATATCGAGAGACTCGAGAAGATCAAAATCTTTGCAGAGATCGGCCGATGATGTATGCAAAGATCGGCTGAATAAGTCTACCGATAATCTAAACTCACAGACGAAAAATCTAGGAAAGGAAAATGAAGCTGAAGACCTAACCCAGAAACTAAACACTCGAGATAAGGAAGAGGTAAAGATGATTCTCACACAACATGGAATTAAGATTATCAGTGAGAAGGAAACTGCCTTATAATCGGAATGGGCAATCGGATACATCATGCAGCTGAGACATTAGAAATTACACGAAAAGATAATACAATATATATAAATCAAGAGATACATCTTGTATTGAATAATAAGTATGTGCAACAACAATCTTTATAGAAAGAAGAGATTTTTTTTATATTATATAAATTGAATAAGTAAGTAATCGAAAAGAGAAAGTGCGAAATTTTTCTGTAGTGGCTAGAATTGAAAAATGTATATATATACAAACGCGTGCGCATGCGATATAGAAATTTAGAAATATATTAAATGATAGATTTAATTGTTATACGAAAGCTTCATCGGTTTTTAAAACACAGGTATATCCGCGTATGTACAACTACTTTGATAAAAGCCGATAAATCTTTTAAACGCGAGATAATATATATGTATATAATTATATTTAAACATTATATAAGATATCAATTAATAGAATTCATAAAATGATCAAGATCTTTCTTTTTATGAATTTTACTAACTAGTTAAATTTATAATAATTATAAATAAAACATATAATATTATGAGATATCTTGTATAATTGATTAAATATAATGTAATGTGTATACGCATTTGTGTAACACATTACGTAAGATTACGAAACAAATATTGATGTTGATTAATTGCTTGATATATTGTTAATTAATTGACAATTAAGAAACATTTAACAATTAATTAATATACAATATATATTTAATAACATTAATTTAACAAAGAGATAAATGTCACGTTAATTATTATGAAAAGTATAGGCAAAACAAATTTTGTTATTATATCGACATCTCGGTTTAAACATTGCGCCGTTACAGTATTATATAATTATTGTGATAGTTGAGTTATCAATATAAGATACAACTTTAAATCGATAGCTCGGTATCGATAGGAAGGACCAACGGAAGAAATTGTTATTCTCGATATGGACAATCGAGAAATTGTTGGATGATTTACGCAAGAGTTGCATAAGACACAACAAGACAATCTTAGTAATATTACAGTCAATATTGCACAGAACAATTATAGCTGTAAGTGACAAAGCGATACATCGATTAAAGGATAGCGCTTTATTCTGAATTTTATAGAGCGTCTCGAAAAATGTGAAGAAATTATTATTTTTTTGATATATTGCTTCTCTCAGGTAAACTTTCAGATGTTCTTCCATATGTTACCCCGGATGATCATCCAGGTGTTCTTCCAAGTGTAAAATTTAATCATTGATCCAAGGTATATTTAACGAGAGTGATACTATTAATTATAATTTAACGATTTAATGGACATGTTTTAATTGTTACTAAACATGTTGAAAGTTAAGAAGATATTTCAAGCATAGCGTCGACATTTTTGTCAAGAAACCAGTTTCAAAACCTTTGCTATGTCATTTTTCACGTTTCTTTGGGCGTCTTACATGCGAAAAGTAGTGAGATGTGCCCAAAAGATTATGAAAAATTTATATTATGCCATAATTATTAATAAGCTCGTACGCATTTTTTAACTTTTTAACCGTATGTCTGTATGTCTATTTATTTGTGCATGCAAATGCTAAGTATTATTATGGAACTATAACAAGAAGTATTTGCGTTCGGGAGCGTATATAGCATACTTTTTTTAACTTTAATTGCATACAGGGCGTCAGTATTATAGTGCTATTATTGCTCCCCTCCTTTGTGGCTTGATGTTTATAGATAATGTTTTGTAACTCTTTTTAGATTCAACTACATTAACGTTAAGTATTTAGAATGCCAACATTTATCCAATTTGTATTTAATGACTTTGTGAGAAATCTATTGGGCTGTTTCCCTTTACTGCATGTGATGTTGCGCATTTTTATTGCTTGAGAAATACGTTCAATGAGTTCAACAATAAGTAATCCCCATTTTAATTAGCACACCAAGAATGCCTTTAAATGTTAACGTGGAATCACCGACAAGGAGTATCTTTAATCCTTTTGGATCCTGATTTCGATTCCTGCAACAAGAACACTTGAAGCGAAAGATCCAAGTAAAAGCTAAAGTAAAACCGTTTACAATGAGTCTCTTTGATCCTTTGGACCTAATGAATCTCTTTTGCGCTCGAGATCATTTAGATTATTGCATCAGGAATATTTAGGAATTCAAGTAAAAATTAAAGCGAAGCCATCAGGGATAAGTTTTTTCAGTCTTTTTAGATCTTTTTTCATTTTTATTGTCATCAGAAATATCAAGATTATCACAGGACTGTCGATGATGAGTCCTAATAAATCATTCGATTGTGTTAAAATTGATTGTCAGCCGTAGTCAGCTACTATTTTAGTAAATCATTAACCATCCATTTCCATTATTTTTTCTTTTGTATAGCTTACGATTTTATGACTTCTCCCTGTCCATTATATTTCTGCGTTATATTTTGCCCCTCTGCTCGCGATTTAAAAATGCATGTGATATAACTTCAATCCTGTTCGTTTTTCCTACACATTTACATCTGAGTTTTTAATTTTAGATGATCATATGTGCGTACTTGTTATAACAATCAGATGTACATCCGTCTTTTTGGGTTGTATGCATATAAAATATCTCGAAAGTTTTTGTTGAACGCTCTCAGTGTTACGAAATGTTCTTATATTCTGCGATTTTCTGCAAATTATTTGTGATTACTGAAGCTAGAATTGAGAAATATTTTTATATAATATTAGTTAATAATTTTTGAATCGAATATCTCTTGTTGCATCCATGACATAAAATATGAAACTTTATCTTGAATTTTTCATCTGATCTCTTATGATAAAGTTTTTCTAGTGTTGATTATAAATATTAATGTCTTAAATTTAAAATTTAACACCCAAGACGACGTGACGGCAGTCGGTATGCATTTTTTCAGTTCTGATGGAGCATGTGACGTGTGTTTTCCAGGATACAACAAAACCTGCATGCCTACTATAAGACAGATAGTTGACTGTCTCGTTGCTACTCATCCAATCCGAGCCTGTGGTTCCCGCCGGCTTCTTCTTTCTGCTATAAAATCTAATCGAGCTACTAATGATTTTAATCAGGACACTAGTATGGTCACTAGCAACAACAACAACGAGAGTGTTGAAAGTTATCAAAATACGCGGAATCCATATCACGATCATCCTTACATCTAATTCCGCTATTAAACTATTTTTATAGGACTAACTATTTTTATGTGTCATCAGTTTTCTTAAATAAAACAGAGATTTAATGCTTATTGAAGTATTATTCCTAACAAGGGGAATCCCAGAAGTATTCATCGAATTTTTTTATGCCAATTTTTTTTAGTGAATCTTGAGGCCAAAAAATATACGTGTCGCGATGTTTATCAACATGTAGCTTTGTTTTCGAGTTATAAATTTTTGAAAATCTAAAAAATGTAGATCGCACTGTTCTTCAAAGAAAAAAGAAAAAAAAAGAAAAGAAAGCTTATCAAGGAAACATTTAGAAAACGTTTCTTTTTTTTTTTTTAATAAATAGAGTATTTCGGTATTAAACTCCGTTGTCTTGAAACGCACGTGCTATTAATAGTTTTTGTGTGCGAAACTAATTTTTTAACCATTTAAAAGCTTTAATATTGTTTTTGTAGGAAATATTATGATATCGATATTTGAATTATTTGAAAGAAGTAACAAACACAAAAAAAATATATTTTAAAGAAAAAGAAAAGTTGCCGAATCCAATTCGCTGAAGCGATCGTTCAATTTTCCGATTTTCAAAAATTTATAAGCGAGAAAACAAAATCGCATGTTGATACACACCGCGATATGTATATTTTTTGGCCTCAAGAAAATTGGCATTGAAAAACTCGATGAACACTTCTGGAGTTCCCCTTGTAAGTGTGTATTATTATTCTATTATATAGATTGGCTATCTATTTTTTATAGATCTCTGAATGTAAGTTATTAGAAAATAATAGAGTTATTAGTATGTGACAAATCGCTATTAGATTAATCTATTTTTTGGGATTTCGAAATCTATAGTGAGCTTTTCAAAATAAACATGGTCAAAATTTCAAAGAGATTTAAAGATAAAAGAAAGAAAGAAATTAAAAAATAGAAATCATGAAAGAAATTACGAAATTTAAATAAAAAAGAAGTTATTAATAATCTGTCATTAATAATAACTAATTGAATATTAATTGTCATGTGTTGTCGTAATATATATGTATCATAATTAAAAATATGGCAATTATAATAGTTGTAAAATCAATAATAACAGAATTGTGTATTATAATTGTGTAGCTCAATTATGATAACAAATTTGTGATGTAAGTATTTGATTATAATTATTATATTTATATTGTTGCGGTGATAATCGTCAAAATTATGCATCACGACTATGTTATCAGATATAATTATATAATGTAATGATATAATTATAGTAAGTAATGTATATGAGATGTGTATAAACAGATATATATAGTGAAGTGTATGGCATACGTTTGTATATAGAGAATACTGTGTATATTTATACATATAATATACATGTAAGATTAATATGTTGTCAACAGAAACATATTTAACGAACTGTATATATCTTTATTCTTATGCGGTTCTCTCTTTTCTCCATTGATCTTAATTTCCCTCCTCGACTCTTTTCTTCTCATCTTCAATTGTTATAATACTACACTTCTTTAATTTTTAACTAAAATATGTATAATAATTATACGTATACATATATTAAAATAGATTATTTTATTTTGTAAACAACACAATCTTTTGTATAATATGTATAAATATTAATTAAAAGTACTTTACTAAAACTAAATATATACATTGCTCAAAAAAATTATGACGTAGAAAAATTGTGGACAAAAATGGGCCAACTTTGACTAACGATAACTTTGTGAAAAATTATCGAAGGATAACGGTTTTTTTAAATTAAAGCTTGAAATCTCTCTACTTTAAGACGTTATGGCCAGATTCTAAGTTTGATGCATCCCTGCTACTTTAAGTTATGAGGATGTGTGTCATATTGAAAATTGCAAAGTTTGACGAAACGCACGGACTTTGTAAAATTTTTTTAGGGAATGCCGTTTGCAGCGGCATAAAGTTCGAACTTTCCCTTTTAATAAAAAAAGAAAAACAAAAACGAGTGCGATTTTTTTTCACAAAGTTACAGCACTTTTTAAGGCAAATATTCAGAAAAGGGGAGCCACCTCCGATGACCTTGACATGTGTTGTCAAGGTCATGACCCTGAGTGACCTCCATCAGGTTATAGATGGTGATCGCTGTTCGTTAAAAAGTTATTAACAGTTAAAGTTAGTAATTATTTCACTGCTTTACATGAAAAATCAGATTTTCAAACTCACCTTCGACTCTCACCCCCCTCACCCCCTGCAAAGGGGAGCGCGACTTTCACCCTCTTCCCCTCTGCAAAGGGGCGAATGACTCTCAAACAGTGGGGGGAGGATGAGAGTCGTGCGACCCTTTGCAGGGGGGAGAGGGGTGAGAGTCGTGCGCCCCTTTGCAGGGGGAGGGAAAGTCATATTCCCTTGATCAGTTCACTCGATACTTCTCTCGCTGCCCAAAGTTGTCTGACTTTTTATGTGAAACAGTGAAATAATTACTAACTTTAATTAACTCTAGTACAATTCTGGAATGACGTTCCGCAGAAAAAAATTAGGTATTAATATGAGGAATCGACTGCAAGCAGTAATCGAGCAACGCGAAGGCAATACGCGTTATTGAAATTTACATGCAGAAACACGATGTACAAAATCTACACACACGCAGAAACGTGCAATATCCATTCAGCAACCTCGTCGTGGTGCATATTCGTTAATGCAGGTAATGTCGATAGTATATGTCAAAAATGCAAGGGTAACTTTAGAGTGCTGTAACTTTGCGAAAAAAAATCGTAGCGACTCGTTTTTATTTTTTTTTTTTAATTAAAAGGGAAAATTCGAACTTTATGCCGCTGCAAACGGCATTCCCCAAAAAAATTTTATAAAGTCCGTGGATTCCATCAAACTTTGTAATTTTCAATGTGACAAACACATCCTCATATTTTTGAGAGTTACAGTGGCAGGGGTGCATCAAATTTAAAATCTGACCATAACATCTTAAAGTAGAGATTTCAAGTTATAATTAAAAAAAAAAACGTTATCCTTCGATAATTTTTCACAAAGTTATCGTTAGTCAAAGTTGGCACATTTTTGTTCACAATTTTTCTATGTCATAATTTTTTTGAGCAGTGTATATATTTAGTATATCACATATGAGGCATTCTACGTCAAACTGGCACCTTTGAAATATTGTTATTTTTAATTCTTTTTTAATTTGCTGACATTCTGCAGATAAAAATATGAGACACGTCATATTTTTACCTGTAGAATGTCATCAAATTAAAAAAAAAATAAAAAATGATATTCAAAGGTGCCCAGTTTGACGTGGAATGCCTCATAAGATTAATTTTTTGTCTAAAATATTTATTGATATTCTCTGAGAACATTTAATACTGCTATCACACAGAAGTAATTAATTAGTTTTATATTATTATTATATTATATAAATAAATGAAGTATAATATTATTGATTTAAAATAGGAAAAAAATTTAATTTACAATTATGATTAATTAAATAGAAAAATATTAAATTTATTCCTTTGAAACAATTTTTCACAAATGGTAATTAAATAATTATATCTTTTTTTGTACATTGTACATAAATCAATAAATTAAATTAGACGAAACATTCTGTACATTTAAGTTTAACTGAATGCTATCTCTATGCGAAACTGCTTCTGTTTTCTTTCTAAAGAATTATCTTAGGAGTTTTCTAAATATTGTCACGAGGATTTCGATCTTACACCAAGTACAGTCACCATAAAAGAACATAATATCCATCCTGCACTTAGTAAAAAGCCAATATAAACTTGCGATTCGGATATGGAATAACCCTTGTAGATAACTCCTCTTAAAGATATAGAGGGTAACGTAGTTGGTAATGCATAGCTAAACCAGCGAAGTCCTTTTGGCATTCCTTCCACTGGCCATATACATCCTATAATTTTGTTAATTAGTGTATTAATAAAAATTTAATTAACGTAAGATAATTCTTTGCTTGATGTTGATATTAATTTGAACTAAACTTACTAAACATTTGCTAAAATTTTTTATATTACTATTAACAATATAATATACAGGGTGTCCTATTTTAAATAATGCATTAAGATTTCTCGAAAGCTATGGTAGATACGGAAAATATTTCAAACAAAAGTTGTATGATTCGGAGGCGGACATAAGAAGGCATCATTGATTTAACCTTGGATGACATCGTTAAGGTTCGGTCAAGGTCACATCGATTTTTTTTAAGTGGAACCCCATATTTTTTATTTCAGAATCTAATAGCTGGTATCAAGAGCTTTTCAAAACACTATAATAAAGTTATTTTTCATTAAGTACTTTTCGAGTTATAAGGCTTGAAAGTTACAGTATTAGCATTACGCAAGGTGTCCGATTGACGGCTAAAACCTCTTGAATGTTGTTCAAGATCATATCCTGGATAACATTTGTATCTATCATGGTTTTCGAAAAATTTTAATGCATTATTTAAAATGGGACACCCTGTATATCCGGGAAAAATTAGTTTATAAATAGTTATATAAAATTATATATAATTATATATAATTTTATATATTTGTATATAAAAATGGACATATTTTATGTACAATTATGTATAATTCTATATGATTATATATAATTTTGCATATATAATTTAATATAATTTTGTATGTAAGTTTATATATAATTTTATATATAAATATATATAATTATATATATAATTGTATATAAAATATGTCCATTTATATACAATATGTAATTATAATATTACCCATACAGCACAGAAAGATTGCAAAATGATTTCAGATATATCTCATTGCAATGGTAATGTTGTAATATTACAAATAGATTGCGCAATGTATTTGCAACATTGTTGCAATTTCATAGTATCATAAAAATGTCCGCCTTCAGCAAGATTGCGTAACAATTTTGCAGCGCAATGTATTTGCAACTATTATTAAAAATAATTCTTTTATTATTACTGAATATAATTTGAAATACAATTTGACATAAATTTAAAAAATGCAGAAGAACTAATCCATATATATTTTATATTATAATTATTGTATTTTGTACTTAATTGTAAATTTTATATGCAGATATATATATTTTTTAAATTTTACATGTAGACATATATTTTACACTTTATGCAGGTACGCGTATTTTGTATATACTCTTAACTAGTGAAATGGAAATAATAACAAACTCCACGCATTCTATTTCATTTTCTTTGCAATATTCAAAGAATTTTTTAAATTCAAATGTTCCAAAAAATTATGGAAATTGTTT